GAACACACTACAGTTGTAGGCAATAAAAGTGTTTCATAANTGAGTGGCGCGCTTAAATTTTGCTAATAATAGGCTATATATTTGTCAATAAAATTTCATTTGCAGTAAAAATATCAATCTTCGAAACACAAACAATGTCTATAACAGTTTTATGAGTGCAAAAGTGAAATTTTAAAATGGCTTCCACCTTTCTGTTTCTTAGTTTTCGGTTGGTGACATATCAATTATATTTTCCTAGTGTACAATACAAAATTACATCTTGCGTCTTCAAGAAAACTTTTTTAACACTTTTTTATTTTATTGTTATCGTTTTCGGCAGTATTATATTTTATAACGCCTACTTGGAACTACTGAAAAACTCTTATAAAACTGTCTTCTAAATATGTTGCAAAACTGCATTCAAGGATGTCTTTACAAAACTACTTTTTAAGAGTGTTTGACAAATTTTATAGTAAATGCCAAAATGTTTATAAAACTGTTTTGTAGTGTTTGTAAAAGGCCTTACAAAATATTGATAATAACTATAATGTTTTATAAAACGGTGACAATTTCCTATTCATAGCAGTTTTATAAACACATTGAAAACATTCCCGGGTGAAATGTAGTTTTATAATTTCTTTCTTCGAAACGTTTCCGCAACTATTATAAAATACGAAATTGCTAGTTGGGTATTCATCTTTCTGAAGCAACGGAATTTCTTGGAACATATATAGATAGTAGAATGAGTTGGGAAAATAATATTGATGCCATAAGCAAAAAAGTTAACACAGGTTACTATGCTATATTGCAATTGAAAAATATGTTCAATACCAATCAACTGATCAATGTATATTATGCTCTAGTCTACTGTAACATATCGTATAACATCAACATCTGGGGATGCTCCAGTAACGCAAAGAGAATATTTGTTTCCAAAAAAGAATTCTTCGACTCATTTTCAATCTGAAACCAGATGAGTCTTGTCGACCATATTTTCAAAAACATAAAATTTCAACAGTTCCATGTATTTATGTTTTCAAATATATAATGTTATTTATGCAACCTGTTGAGATGTATCAAACAGTTTCTCATTGCCATGGTTACCCAACTAGAAACGGAGACCTCATCAGAATTCCTGCACACAGCTCATCATTCTATGAAAAAAGCCTCTCATATAGAGGTATAAAGTTTTTCAATCACCTTCCCGCAAACCTGAGAGAGCAACGGAATAAAAATTTATTCAAATCAAAATTGAAAGTAGCTTTGCAAGACAAATGTTACTACTGAATCAAAGAATTTCTTGATGCAAAATGAAAATGTGTTTGCTCATAGGTATAAATATGAATGTAAATATACATGTTTTCATGTATATGTCAACAAATCTATTAAATTGTGATATTTTAATATTGTTAATTGTGAATTTGTCTATTATCACTCGGTTTTTCATTTGCGACGTATCCTTTATCATGCTGTATGTGATCTGTAAGGATTGAATAAAGATTATCATTATTATTATTATTGGATAAACAAGACATCGAAATAGTCTTCGAACCCACGAGTAAGATACAACAAAGCCTCAGGTCGGCTAAAGACAAAAAAACCATTATCAGCAGCAAGGGTATATCGTGAATACAGTACACTTGTGGAAAGGTATATATCGGAAACACCAAACGATCCATGGGAACAAGACTGAAAGAGCATAGAAGGAACTGCAGAATAGGCCAAGCGGACAAGTCAGCTGTGGCAGAACACGCGCTTAGTGAAGGAGACCACATAATTTTGTTTGAAAACACAGAATTAATTACCCCCAACCAGGGATACTATGGCCGACTGGTACGGGAGGCAATAGAGATCCACAAACACACAGAGAATTTCAACAGAAAAGAAGAAGCGGTGAACCTCAATCGGATATAGAACCCTATTTTGAGGAATTCGACAATAACGAACAGAATGACAACAGGCAGCAAGATTATAATTGTTCCAGGTTCAAGTACAGATACAAGTACAGGTGCAAATACAGGTACCAATACAACTGATTACCTGACAAGGCATAAAAACGCTTTACGTAGCCTAAAAATTAGTCATCGGACTGCAAGCCATGATGGTTAAACCTCTGAAGAAGCTAGCCACTCGCGCCAGCGAAACGTCAGGAAGAAATTCCAGAAATCCATGGCTTTCAAACTCAAAAAACAGTAATGTTGACAATACTGTTGTCATGCCACTTACACACGATAATTTCATTGTCCACTGTTGAAGGATAGTCAAAATTTCCTCGTGGCTGTTTCTTCATTTCCTTGGATGACATCTTTTGCCAACACTTCGGTAAACGATTTTCTCGTACTGTTCTGGTACCCTTTATGCCTCTAGATTTCAATTCTGAATGCAGCGGCAAGGAATTAAATAAATTGTCAAAAAAAATGTGGTGATTCATGTTAGTTCCAGAAGCTTTCAAAGCATCTACGAACTCAAGAACAACACTTGCACCTAATCCTAGAGACTTATATTCTTCTGACTGTTTGGTGTTTGAGCCTTGATATGGCTGATACCACTCAATATACCCTAGTCGGTTGCTTCCCGTCCATAATTTATACCCCCAGCGAATTGGTTTTCCACGAATGAATTGTTTCGTTGGATGTCTTCCATAGTAGGGTACCATCGGCTCGTCTACACTATGATGCTCGGCTGGTGGAGTCATATCCATAAATTTCTCATTCAATAAACTAATCAGGGGGCAAAGTTTCACAAACCTGTCGCCAGCAGCAAGATTTGTTCTGTCACCACAATGTAGATTTTGCATCAGGCGGCGAAATCTGTTTCTAATCATCGCATTACAGATCAACCTATTGTTTGTATCAGGAGAATTTTCCAAATACATTTCTCGTCGCGGACGGCAATTGTAACCACTGAGTAATAATATCTCAATAAAACAACGCATTTCATCAATTGTTACATCAGCAACACGATTTTGATCACTGGCATACAAATTAGTGTAAGTTACTAGCAAGTTCATTAGTTCATCATCAAAAAGTAAAAAAAAAACCTGTCCACAGGCGAATGTTGTTGTTTTGGTCCACAAACTGCATCCCAAGCAGGTAAATCAGAGGTGATGTCATTTTTGGTCCACACATATTTATTTTTTTCTTTCACTTGAACATTTTTTTTCTCTTCACAAAACGGGAGAATGGAAAATCGTTATCACTATCGGATATACTATCCGAGTCAATATTGTCAAAATTCACCTCAGCGTTAGCTCTAAGCTGTCCTCCTGGTAGGTTACTTATGTCCACATTACATTCATCTCCACTGTCTTCATCTGTTATGTCATTGTCATCAGCCTCTTCCAAAAGTTCGTTGAGAGTCAAAGGCCTTTTCCAAAAATCGCTGAAAGAAAAAAAAACATAAAAGGATTAAAAACTGAGTTTTATTTACATGGGCTATTATGAAAGGAATTATGTTTTGAAAACACCCAATTTTAGCAGTGCATTTTGCCACTGTCCTTTCGAAAGAACACACAGTCAAACTTTAACCTAACTAAGAACGATGATAATTGTTGTTAAAGAGATACCCGTTGTTTGTTCATTGAATTTTATAAGTTTTCATTTTATTAAAGTATTTAAAGCTATAACTTACCTGGAAGATTTCATATTATTCGACATATCGGCACCAACTTCTAGTATCACCCCTTGACAAGACACCAACGGCGGCAAATGATCGACAGTCGTCACAAATATGAATAACTGGAAATAGATCACTGTACAAGTAATTCCATCTATCAACAAGTAGCCCTAGTTGTGCTACAGGCGCCTATTTCACGATGGCTTTCAAAAGAACAGTGGCAAAATATGAAATCACTTTTTTTTCAAGTTTTGGCTTTATCTGGGTTAAACTCAATTTCATTTAAGATTATACTTTATTCTAAGCTTACACCTCACCACTCCGTCCACGACATCCCACCGTATTCACGAGTATCTGTTTAAAATCTGTTTTAAAATCTGTTTTTCCGTTAATCAGCTGTCGCCCCCATACGAACGACAATTCTCAGAAGTTGAGAAACTTGTGCGAGCTAAGGACTAACGAGGTCTTACCTTTTAACGTGTGATTCCTAACACGGTATGGTATGATCAGTTATTCTTTACATTGGACAACGTCGGCCCAGTCCGGATAACCAAAGTTCAAAGAACACCTGAAGAAACTATTGTAAAATGAAAGGAGTGTTACAGTTTTGTGAAAATCACCCAGAATAAGTTAAAAATATCTATGTGTATTTCAGGAGCAGCCCCGGCCCCAGCTTCTGTCCAACACAGCAGCTTCGACTTCGGAATCCCATCCCGGCCTGCCCCTGAGAGATCCTTCGCCCCCGCTCCAAGACCTCGCCCAGCACCGGTACATATCGGATATGGAACCCTATTTTGAGGAATTCGAGAATAACGAACAGAATGACAACAGGCAGCAAGATTGTAATTGTTCCAGGTTCAAGTACAGATACAAGTTAAGGTACAACTGCAGATACAAGTACAGGTGCAAATACAGGTACCAATACAACTGATTACCTGACAAGGCATAAAAACGTTTTACGTAGCCTAAAAATCAGTCATCGGACTGCAAACCATGATTGTTAAACCTCTGAGGAACCTACCCACACGCGCCAGCGAAACGTCACGAAGAAATTCCAAAAATCCATGGCTTTCAAATTCAAAAAACAGGGACACTTTAATATATCGTAACATTTCAGCAAGCTGTATCTCGCTGAAAATAATGAATATTTAGTGATGGACTATTTTTGAAGGGAAACAAATACAGGGTGATAAATGTTTTTTTTATTGTTTTTGCACTTCTCGAGTTACATTTTCAACAACCCAACAAATAATATCTTGACATTTGTAATAATGAACTCAATAAGAAAATGCCACAAAATTCGGCAGCCTGTCGAGTGAAAGGCCCTCGAGGCGAGCCAAACTCTTCAAGAACGGCAGCAGGAACCAGCAGACCCTCAACTCGGCTCCAGCAGACTCCGGAACCTTGCCCCTTCCTCGTCTGCGCGACGCCATATAAAAGATAAATTTTGACCCCCGCAATACTCTAGTGCGGTGCCTCCGAAGAAAAACATGTTACTTTTCAGAAACGTGAGTACCCCCTACCCTTTGTCCTTATCTCGCGAAGTTCTCGTGGCTTGACAGTGTGTGCGCAGGAGAGAAAGTGGTTCTGGTACTCGCTGAGAAGGACTGAGATTCGCGGTTTATATTTGCAAGTTTTCTGTGGGATTTTATCAAGCACAGTACTTTGAGTTTACAGGGTTCCTTACATTTTTTTATGATATCAAACAAGGGTAGAACTACTTATCAGTAATTGCTATTATCCCATAAATACTAACTCATCTCCACGTCGAACAAACGAGTGAACTAAACAAATACTCTCAAGCAGCAACAGTAATTTTGAAACCTGTATTATTTCAAACTCAACGTGACTTTGTTATAAAAATATTGCTCACACCTTTAGGAATTTGGTGAACGTCTGGAACGGTCACGTGTGATTTTTTCACCTTGAATGTGAAAGACGTTTTGTATTATAGGTGCGTACATATGCAAACCCACTAGGTAAAAATTTTACTGAGGATACACTACAAAAACACACTTTTGTCTATTTTCCACTATATTTCTTTATTGTTGACCGGTTTCGGCTATTACACCATTTTCAAAACTAACTGATTACATTTAAATCTGAGTAATTTATACCTATGTTGCTTATTCTATCATAAATGATTTGATATACCTGATAT